TATCTCCAGATTGAAATGCCGGAAGATTCGCGTGAGTTGCCAACGATTAACACTCATACAGGACTCTTCCATTATACACGCCTACCATTTGGCGTTAAGTCGGCCCTGGCAATCTTTTAGATCATGGGTACAATGCTACAGGGAATACCTTATGCCGTTGCATACCTGGACGATATCATTATCATGGGATCTAACCAGGAAGAACTACACCAACGAAGGGAACTCGTGCTTGACAGAATAAAGGTGTATGGTTTTCGCCTGGGAATGGACAAGTGTGACTTTTTCGTGACCTCCATTAAATACTTAGGCTTTATCATTGACCAAAATGGACAAAGAACTGACCCATCAAACACCGTAAGACGTAGCGACGTTGAGATCATTCCTGGATATGGTGAGTTATTACGGTATCTACCTGCCGTCCATGCATGACCTACGCGGACCATTAAACCGGGTGCTGGTGAAGGACGTCCGGTGGGTCTGGACTACGGAATATCAGGAAGCCTTCGATAGCACCAAAGTATCACTAAGCTCAGGACTGATGCTAACGCACTACGATCCAAAACTGCCAAGTGTAGTGGCATCGTATGCATCCAGCTATGGAGTTGGAGCAGTCATCTCCCACATTTTCCCAGATGGATCTGAGAAGACAGTCGCTCATGACGCTCGTTCACTGACAGCTGCAGAAAGAAAGTATAGTCGAATTGAAAAGGAGGTTCTCGCTATTGTGTTTGCAGTGAAACATTTCCACAAATGTTATATGGCCGTCACTTTACCTTACTAACGGACCACAAACCGCTTCTTGCTATATTCGGCTCCAAGAAAGGAATTCCTGTATATACGGCCAATCGTCTGCAGATGGGCGACAATTTTGCTGGGGTACGATTTTAACATCAAGTACCGATCAGCGAGTGACATTTGTCAGGCTGACGCGCTGTCGCGGTTGTTAGACGAACAGCACCAACCAGAAGACACTGTCGTTACAAATGTCTCAATCGAAACGGAAGTTAACCGTGTACTCTCGGCTACTGTGAGCCAGCTTCCAATATCTTTCAATCAGATTCAAGACGCCACCTTACGGAACCCGCTGCTGTCACAGGTGAGCGTGTTTTACCACTCAAAGTGGCCTCGAAAATGTTCCGGCGCACAGCTACAACAATTGTTCCAGAGACAAAATGCACTATCGGTCGTCGAAGACTGTATATTGTTTGGTGAAGGTGCCGTCATCCCAGCCGAACTTTAATCTAAAGTCTTACACCAATTTCATACTGGACACCCCGGTTCCAACAGGATGAAAGCTCTAGCGATGAATTATGTGTACTGGCCGTTTATGGATTCTCAAATTGAGGAGTTAACACGTTCCTGTTCAAATTGTGCCTTAGCAACAAAACTCGCCACGGAAATGAGAACTGTTCTCCTGGCCAAAGTACACAAAACCATGGTTAAGTGTTCACCTTAATTTCGCAGGATCAATCAAAGGACAGAACTACTTACTTATCATCGATGCATACAGCAAATAGCCCGAGATCTTCCAAATGTCGAATACATCAAGGTCGGCTACGATTACAGTTCTCAGGGAAGTATTCAGTCGGTCCGGTTTTCCGGGAACAGTAGTATCCGACAATGAACCTCAGTTTACCTCTTCACATTTTGCTGAATTCTGTGCGGTACACGGCATGCAGCATTTGCGCTCACCTCCTTATCATCCACAGTCAAATGGGCTAACTGAATGATTTGTGGATACTTTCAAGAGGGCTCTGCTCAAAGTGGAAGGAGACGGACCAATCCAAGAGGTCCTACAAACTTTCTGTTAACGTACAGGAGTACGCCTAATCCATAGACGCCTGAAGGAAAGCCCCCCAGCAGAATCACTCTTGCTTAGAAGGCCTCGAACGAAATTTGTTCTGATAAGGCCGCCGGATAGACCCAATCTCGAAACTGGATAATGGAGCACCAGTACAACCGAAGGGATCGCGCTATACCACGACACTTCGAAGTTGGACATAAAGTGTTGGCAAAGGACTATCGGAACAACCAAATCTCTTGGACACCTGGAATGGTTGTAAAAAGATATGACCATGCCTATTATGAAGTGGCCGTAGGCGATGACAGATGGATCCGCCACATCAATCAAATCAGGAGCTACATCTCATTTGACAGAAGAGAAGATGCTCTAACTACGCCTCTTGAATTACTTCTGGACGAGTTCAAACTACCAAAACAGAGGCTACTCAGCAAGATAAGCCTATCAATCCAACCTCTCCTTCACCCGGATGGAGACCAGAAGATGGCCCGATCGTTGCAGAGTTCCTGTCACACCGCTCCAGGTTAACCCCAGGCTGAAATCGTATAACAGTGGACTTCAAACGGGGCAGTGTTAGGAGGGACATCTCCTAACGAATAGGTCAGTGAACTCAAACGATGTGTATGGCTGTACGCTAAACGCATGCGTCCGTCTGCCGTAATTATTGATTGATCATTTAGATTATGTGTTCATGTGACCTCGAGTGCCTCGCACTTCCGGTTGCAGTTTTTTTGGGAGATTGACTGTTACGCAGTAACCATCTTATTACACAGCTCTGTTGTACTGTTTTCATCGGGCTTAACAGTTTGAACCGCTGTACGCATTAACTAGCAGAGAGGTTTTACGGAAGCTCCTTTCCGTATAGACCATGTACTCAACGGTTGTCTGGGATTATCTTGACTTTCGTCTACTCCGATGGTCGCTCACACTATTACTCACGTCGCAAAGACGGAGCACGTCTGGTCCAGCCGGGCTGAGTACGCCTTCAGCCGAACGTTTTCACTTGTGAATCGGCGAAACAAATACGGCTTAGATGACGACCAAATTCTGCCCCAATTTATACGCTTAAGTGTTCCATTGTATTGCCAATTTATAGCTTGTGCGTCTTTCGGTGCATTTTACTACTGATTGCGAATGTGCTGAAAGTCTACGTGCCCAGACTCACCAGTTCACCACTTTTAGATGCTAGGTGATCACCGAGTATGTAAGAAACCCGGCACACCATCCCTACGTTTTGTTGCCTTGCGACCACCATCAGTCGTGTGAGACGTGGGCATACCGCGAAGTCTCATGCGCCTACGCGTAATCTACCGGTGACCTAGGGATTATAAGACAAACGTGCAGTCACCGGCCGACCAGAGTAGGTAGGTTAACTACCACACACACATATCCACATGCTTGGTGTACTGGAGTACTCTCACCGGTTGTTCCTTCCTGGGACTCACTCCACCGAACTGGTCCACATCAGGGACGCTATTTATTCAACACTTGGCCGTAGAGAAATTCATTGATTATACATATCAACAGCCTCCATGCCAGATGGTCCTCTAAAAGTCCAGCAAATTACTGAGTGACTGCTTCATCCTACCGGGAGTCCTCATGTACTGTACGTCCCTACGCTCCGTTTTGAATCGGAACCATGGTATCTCATCTCTAGCAGGCCCTCATGAGATAGCTCGGCTCAGGAAAGTAGCGAACGTTTCCGAGTCACGGATTCCCATCGAAGTGTAAAGTACTGCTCAAGGATTGGCTTTCCCCTGCTTCCGTACTCACTCTCGAAGGTGCACAACTTGAACTGGTAGATAATTTCGTCTGTCTCGGGAGCTGTGTTTCTGCTGACGGCACTGTCAACAAAGAAGTTTCTCTTCGTATCGCTAAAGCTCGATCAGCATTTGTCAATCTGAGGCACTTGTGGCGTCGTCTTGACGTCTCATTCTCACTAAAGGGCCGCGTTTACAGCGCATCAGTTCGCTCAGTATTGTTGTATGGGTGCGAGTCCTGGCCGATTCGCGTGGAAGACATGCGTCGTCTTTCTGCCTTCGATAACGGTTGCTTAAGAAGGATCGCTCGTGTTTGGTGACAACATCGAGTTAATAGTAATGACGTTCGACGTCGCATCTTGGGGAATGCGAGTATTCCCTTCAACAAACTGGTTTTGTTGCGCCAGTTAAGGTGGCTCGGTCACGTCCTACGCATGACACCTGAGCGTCTACCGCGTCGCGCTCTATTCGCTCGTCAAGGACCTGGCTGGAGGCGGCCGCGCGGTCGTCAGCCTTCCACTTGGCGGCAGCACATGAAATCGCTGACGTCGTGTCTAGCCGCTGTTGGATCCGTACGTCTTCCAGGATGGGGACCCAAAGATGAGGAATGCCAATGGCTTCGCACTCTTGAAGACATGTCCCGCAACCGGAATCAGTGGAAGAATTGTGTACAGTATTGTATTGATTCACATGTTTAATACTACAAACATTAAAAATGACAAAAAAGCAAAATCGGCGTGTGCAAAACAAACTAAAAATGTTTTGTTCTACTTTTTGTCAAAATGTTCCATTCTTCCTGCGGCATATTAGCCGAAGTGTGTTGCTCACCTTCAATTAGCATGCCACGATGATTATGACTTGATGACTCTTGCTTATCCACTGATCTCCATGGTTTTATGTTGGCTCTGTGTCTATTTGATAGGCTGTTGAGATAATAAAAAAATTCCCATGACAACGGCTATAAGCGCATGGCATTTGTAAGCTCTCGGGACTATTTTGATTAATTTTGAGTAGGGATACTTTTATGTACTTGATCACAATACTTGTGTAGTGCCTTTCTGCGACGAACCCTTGACCAATTACATAAAAATTCCCCTCGCAGGCAGGTACATTCGCCTAGTTCAAACGCCTTCTACGTCTATAGGCGGAGTTATGTCTTCCAGAGCTTATTGGCCACTTTTTACTTATGGTACGAGTGTATTGGTCATTCTGTCAGTCTACCAATCCCTGGAACTTGATCGTGAAAGTCTGCTTTTCCGGATTTGTCCGATCTGCAAATGACCCCTCTGCGATGTGTGCAAATCTCTCCAGTGTATTAGGTGTTCACTCAGCGATTGCCTACCACTGCAGCACTCATATTTATGCTGCGCTCACTCGTTCGTGTGAGCACTGCGTTTACATATTTCCCCATTTTCGACCCGTCCACTTTTCTATTTAAGCACATGGCTAGCCAGTTCTGGTCCAAAGAAAGACCTCTATTCTCACGCGAATAATCCACAATACCGGTTGGAAGTCCGATGCACAGTCGAATCTTCCATATGGGTGCTGTTAACTCGGCATATAACAGACAAGGTGAGTGTCATTGTTGTTGATTCCCCTCGATTTCAGGGACTTTATTTCGTACGATTTACGCGCACCGAATTCGCCCCAAGCTTTGCACGTTGTCAACTAATCATTGTCACTAGCTTAGTTTCATGCTGTATACTTAAACTGGAAGTACCAGAAGCTCCTGTGATCCCAACTCGACAGCTGGGATGCGCTGGGTTAACCTTTTACACAAAATGCTTTCCTTGGAGTGATAGTTTTGACCTGTGGCAAGTGCACATGGCACTACCGGGTGGGTTAAGACATACGATTACAGTCTTCGGTATGCGCTTCACACTTCCCACGGAACACTATTATTGTATGAAACACCGAACAGTCATTTTGATCGATTGGTATGTTCGCTTATCAGGAAATCCCTATCACTTTTGCTGACCATGCTAATGTAGTGGTTATTGTGCACATGGGGTACGCCCCTTCGGTATGATGCTGCATTAGCAACTTCAAGTAATTCGTTCGTTGCTCTGGTGCGACTAGTTTTGTGTGGGTCAGAAGACATGGGTTTCCTTTGGGTACGTGGCGCCTGCGTCGAATTACTCTTACGTGGTGTGACTACGGGGCACAAAATGCTGAGACCTATTAATTGGTTTTCGGCAGTAGAACGCTTGATACCGTGCTGTATCGTAATTTTTCTAACTTGAAACGATTAGGTTGCCTGGGACACTTTAGGTGCAAATCCGCCACCCATCGACCTTAATGTATGTTGTCTACCAGTGGTGTGTCTGATTGGATAACTGTCCAAAGCACCTGTAACGGACAAATCACAGTCTGTCGATTCCACCGAAGCATGCCACAGATCCCGTCCCTAATTCCCTTGTTTCGCTGCCCCGGCCTCATCCGCTGACCTTTTTACAGCTTGATTGATTGGACTATGGATCGTTTTGCTCTAAATCGCCTCTGCTTAAATTGCTTAGTCGGTTAACTAAGTTAACTGATTCCGTCATCTGGCCTCGTTTGACGTCCGGTTTGTGAACAGAGCTATTGTACAGAGGCTTCAAGTGGAACGGGGACTTAATTGAGCAGGAAGTGGTATTTTATATTACTGATAGAATCCCAGTAGCTCGAAAACAACAAACTGTATAACTTCAACTTCTGTACAATCCACTCGGGTTTAATGCGGGTTTCCGTCATTCTTTACCACGCTCCGTCGCACTGCTGGAAGCATTCTTCCACGATGCTCCTTAATACCAGCGTTGCTTAGAGCAACATCAATGGAGTATGAGGGCTGTTCTATTATGGTAATTTTTTCTCGGCCAGTAATTTCCGGGTGCCCGGAGCGTTATGAGCAGGAGTATAGTCATGAAGAAGCATCCACGATTTGCTGTCATAGTTATCGTCTGTTAAAGCGCACTCAGCGAAGCAAACGTTTCAATAATAAGGCAACAAGAATTGGCATAAGTGCGACATAGTCAAGAGTCAGGTTTGAAGTGCATGTGACCCAGGTGCAGTAAACGAAAGTTCATAAGCTAATACGAAAAAGGAAATAACGCATTGTGGTGGATATTGTCGAGGTCAGTATGTAATTTGTTACTTTGTAAAAATAGCACCGTGGCGTGCACTTCTGACCTTGCCTTCTACGCGTTACTTGAATCCACCACCGATTTAACGGTAACAGTGCTGGACAATCCAGGATTGCTTATCCTATATTCGGATCTTGGACGATGCCGTTAAGAAGAAGGTCAGCACGGAAGAACGCCGCAAAGTTCGATGAAAATTGACCACTTGAAATCTTTATTGTTGTTGCAAATGATTTTACTTCCCACTCTAGTTTGCCGGTTAGTAGTAGGACTAGGGACAGTAATACAGTTAGTATGGACTCTTATGTCTCGAATATTGCATCGAAACTAGCAGAATGGAATAAAAACAGTTGATAGTGGAAGTGGAGCGTTATACTCGCTTACTGCTGGGAAGAACATGATCTGTTAAGCGGTTGCCAGAACCGTGTGATGACGCAAAGGAATGTTGCGAACGACATAGTAATTCTATCGAAGGATATCGAGCTCCTCCAAATGAGTACAAACCGTTGCCTATTGTTGCTGATCAGCCCTTTGGGATCGGTTGTCAACTGGACCTCTCCAAAATGGAACTTGAATATTTTGACGGTAATCCTGCCATGTATTGGAGGTTCGTGAAGCAATTTGAGTACTTCGTTGAGAAGCGGGTTCAGGATAATGGGCAACGACTCTTATATTTGTTGTACTACTGTCGAACTCGGGCGAAGAAAGCCATCAGCGAGTGTGTTATGTTGCCTCCGGACCAGGCTTACATTCGAGCTAGAACGATTTTTCCTGATTTATTTGGTCAGAATCATGTGATCGCCAGATCACTTATTTTTGTATTACTAACAGATCTAAGGCCGCTTTCCCAAGATGCCGAAGCTATTTCTAGTCTTTCCCCAAAAATGGAAAATGGTCACATAGCGATAAATCAGATGGGGTTTCTCACTGACCTAGATTCGATTGCGACTGTCGAAAGAATTGTACGGATCTTACCTATGAGTATGAAAACAGACGACACCATCCTGCAAGAAGAGAGAGAAATCACTCTAAAGGACCTGTCTGAGGTCGTCTCCTCTGAAGCCCGCATTATGTGCAGTAGATTCGGACAGATTGCATCAATTCCTCAGTTAGGCCCGTCTTGTTCCCGCGGTCCGCCTATCCCGGTACGCAGAAGGAATGGGGCTAGCATCAATTAGTGTGCTATATTCAGAATGGAACCGAATTCAGCTTGTCTTGTTTGTAGTGGTCAACATGGTACTGCGGTATCGAGAATTTCTAGCCTCCACGGTGCCTGATAGATGGGAATTAATGAAACTGAAGAAAGAATGTAATAAATGTCTCGGCAGTGGTCACTTGGCTGCTTTTTGCACATCGGATGGCAGGTGTAACCACTCGGGTTGCAGGGATAGTCATCACCCACTACTACACCTGGAGCGCAATGAGGACCCTATGCTGAAAACGAGCAGCTGTTGTTCTACGTCTTGTTCAAGAAAGGAACTACGGCTGTGCATAGTACCTGTGCGTCTACAGGGTGCTCTGAGATCCACTGAAACTTACGCGTTGCTGGATAGTTGGTCAGATGTAACCTTGGTACAGGAAGATTTGTTAGGTGAAGTTGGAATAGAGTTTTGCCTGAATCGTTAGAAATTAGAACGCTGGCTGTTACGTCGTTGATTGACGCAAGCTCTGTTAGTTTCCAGTTGAGCTCATTAAGTGGTGGTGATGTTCCTCATGTCTATTGCATAAATAAGTTGTATTTACAACCAGTCAAAGTTCTTACTAAAACTGTAGTCTGTCGCTGGCCACACCAAAAAGGTATCCAATTTAGTGAGATCCGAGATAACTGTGTGCGAATTTTAATTGGAGCTGATGTACCTGCGGCCTATTGGCACCTAGAACAACGCCTCGGTGGGAGGAATCAGCCATTTGCAATAAGAAGCCCACTTGGATGGTCATGATTCGGCCAGTAAATTTTGGAAGATATTCATTTGTCTCGGTCAATCATGCTCTGTGTGATCCACAATCCGTGGAGGACCAATTTAAATCGCTATGTGATAGCGAGTTTGCCAGTGTTGGTTCTGAAGATCGTCGAGGAGATTTCACCAGCAGCGCCGGATGGATTAGAAGTTGTCATGCAGGATAAGTCCAACGTGCCAGTGTCCGTGAGGAATAAGTATGACGAAGAGAAAGTTGTTTCCTTCCCGACGACCTCCCACTTCTCATCTCACAAACAGCCACCACACAGAGACGAAATATTCTCGATGACAGACTCAATTGGAAGGATTGTTCCACGGAAAAGCCTAACCATATCGAATAATTCGCCAAAGGAAGAACTGCAGGCTTTCACTATTTCCGTGCTCCAAGGAAAAAGCATTTTAATAAGTGAGCTTTTTGCACTGGTCTCTAGAGAGAAGGAACGAACGCAAGCAAACGGACAGAAATACATGGTCTTAAAGCAGTTAGCTTGACGTTCCGTAAGCTTGTCGGACGCCTAACTTTGGTGGGTTTATGTCCCATGGTTATGCTGGTCCTTTTGGTCTTGATAGCTGGCCAACCAGCACTCACTCCAAATGCACTGTTATTGTTGCGGTCGAATACAGACTAGTTATATTGCTGACGCCACAAGGTAGTTGTGCACAACGCTGGAAACAGGTGGACTACTTTGCATCAATATTCTGGAAGAGGTAGACCAACGAATACTTACTGTTGTTACATATGAAAAAAGTGGCTAAAAGCAGAACGATGTTGTACTGATTGCCTATGAGGCGCTACCACGAGGACACTGGTTCCTTGGAGCAATTGAGGACTGTAAACTCTGACGATGGGTTGGACAGAATCCTGCTTGTAAAAACAGGGGACGGTTCAATTAAGAGAAGCATACGGAAAATTTGCTTGCTCGAGGGTAATGAAGGAGGTAAGGAAGCAATTGATAGCACAACTGAGAGGGGTAGAGCAACCTGAGTGGGAGAACAATCAAACAATGAGAAATTTCTGGAATGAATTTGATGAGGAGTATAACAGACAACTCATAGTCTGCCGATTCCACCGAAGCATGCCACAGGTCCCGTCCCTAATTCCCTTGTTTCGCTGCCCCGGCCTCATCCGCTGACCTTTTTACGGCTTGATTGATTGGACTATGGATCGTTTTGCTCTAAATCGCCTCTGCTTGAATTGCTTAGTCGGTTTAGTTGGCTGGACTTCAGTTAACTGTTTCCGGCATCTGGTCTCGTTTGACGTTCGGTTTGTGAACAGAGCTATTGTACATTTTGTGATGGATATTGTCGAGGTCAGTATGTAATTTGTTGCTCTAACACTTCGTAAAAATAGCACCATAGCGTGCACTTCTGACCTTGCTTTCTGAATTGATCCGGAAGTTCTACGCGTTGCTTGAATCCCCCGCCGATTTAACAGTAACAATACCTAATCGATCAAATGGTGAAAAGGCATGAAAGAAGTGACCGAAAGGTTTAA